TGAAGCGCATAAAGCTGGCAAAAGGTAACCACAATAACCAAAAATCCAATCTATGGAAACCGAAACTCAAGCCCAAAGCCCAAACCGAAACCGAAACAATAGAACCGAAGTTTCTAGCTGCTGCTGCTGCCGCTGCTGCTGCCTCTGCCGAGCTTCCAAATCCAACTTTTGGATGATCAAAGCCCAGCCCCACACTGAAAGAAAATCTCAGAGTTTGTTCTTTGCTAGGAGTTGGTTTTTCCATAAAATTGCATTCACTTTCCACGGTGTAACGGCTGTCGCCGCATTGATGGCTCGTCTATAATTTAATGCCGTTCAGCAGACATCTTCGAAATGTGAATAGGTTGAAACAGGGTCACCTGCAGAGGGGTCTCAGTTGGGGGTGCCTCTGGCGGGCAAGGAGAGCTGTGTGGGTGGGGTGGGTGTGCATTTATATCGATGGTAGCCTGACATTTGTCGGCAAACGTGAAAGGGCACAGGCATTTTTGCCGAAAATAGAAACATTCGTTGTTGTCTGTCAACCTGCACCTCTTTTTCCCTCTGCTGCACTGCGAGAAATCTTTGAAATTGGTTGAGAAATACAAAAGTACTTACTTGGGAATATTTCTCTGCGTGCCGCAGTATCGCTCCTCCAATCGATGGGGCCTCAAAATGCCGCGCTGCCACTTCGATGCGCCACTCGGCGTGCCAAAATGTTAAATGGGACAAGACAAAGGCAAACTCAAGGAGTTTGGCTAGCTAAGGGGGGGGCTTAAAACCGGCCAGTTCCCACTTGCCACTTGCCACTAGCAGCACCGGCAAAACAATCGCCTAACCAGCTGAGCCTTCGCTCTCGGCCCGGCCAAATGTCAGGTACAAATATTGCCACAGAACAGCAAAAGCAATCAAAAATAAACCATGAAAGAAACAAAGCTGCATTCCACGGTGGCACAAACATTGGCGAGACAAAATGGGTTATTAGACAGCCAACGGCCTGCCGCTTGCCCCGAGCAGCGAGGAGGAAAAGGCCAAAGCCTGGGCCTAGACCTGGGCCTGGGAGTACAAATCATCAAGCTGCGGAGTGTGGCAAAGACTGGGATGAACTTTCTGTGAGAATAATATTCGAAGCTTAATCCAAATTGCTCAAATCTTAACTCTATGTATTATTTCCCCTTAGATCTTGCCATGAATGTATTCAAAACCCCTTGAAGGATGTCCCCTAGTCTCGTCTGTTTGGTAAATCAGAAGCAGAAATCGTGTGGCCCGGCGAGTTGCTTGGCACTTTTCGGTTTGCGCAATTCGCGGGCCTCAAAAGATTGACCCTTTATTTGGTGAGCTCACCTTTTGGTTTCTTCTGAGGGCTCTGTGGCTCGCTCCACCGTCTGTGGAATTCTTCTGAAGCGATCAATGCCACAAGAGCCGAGTCAAATGTTGCAAGTCATTGGGGTTTTTGCAACGATTTGGCGTCGATTTAACTTGATTTGAATCGATCATCATAATTCAAAAGAATCCAATCGAATCCATCGAATGCCGCCGATCAATCCGTTTTGGCATTTGGACACCGATTGACAGCCGCCCCACACAGGCCGATGTCACATTTCGCAGAGTTTAGATCGTAGAGCTCAAATCATTGAGACTCCAATCTGAGATGTGTAATCTCTGATCAGTGATCGGCGATCGGCAATCGGCAATCGCATAATAAACGTCCTACGACTGTCAAATGCCAACGAAATGTCATTTCGAATCGGCCAAATGGCATAGCCAGCGGAGGAGAATCGATATGGATTTGGATTTGGATCTCGATTCTCTCCATGGCAAAGTCACAAAGTCACAAATTGACAATTTTCGATTCGTGGGCTTACACGAATGGCACGTACGGTGGTGGGTAACCTTGACTTTCAAACCGAAATGTCAGCGAGGGGAATGACTTAGACATGCAAAGCACATAATCAAAATAAATAAAGCCAAAGACAATAGTCAGTAAGTAAATAGACACACAAAAGATGCCAGCCGAGTGGAGAGACATTCGCAGTCAATCAATCGGACAACCCGTACAAATTGTACATTTTAAACGGATCAAAGTGATTGCAGGAGAGGGGTAAGGGGAGGGTAATGCTGATCAAGGGGGCGGGGCTGTTCAATTAGAGCCACACCATCGATGATCTCAAGGCGAGCATTATGAGAAAACACTCCCTGGCTAGGCTGGGTATCTGCTGACGAAGGCCTACCTTTCTTTAGGAGAAACCAATCTTAGGAGTATCAATCTCTGATATCTGAAGGCCTACTCTTCTTAGGAGAAACCAAAACTTATCAATCCCTGATTGGAATGATAAAGATATCTGACTAAGCTTTGATTTTAGTTAATAAACGAGAATAGAATTCAGTTCAGTTACCTAACCAGAAGACAGACAAGCTGCTAAGGAGTCCAAATCAATGGCCATTCAAGTTACAGTTTAATCCGCCACATATTTGTTTTGATACTTTGATATTGTACAGTCGAGGGTGATTGATTGATGGATAAGAAGATAAGAGAGCCCAAGAGTCCAAGAGCTAGTCAGTATCCATTGTCCATTCATCTGAAAAGATACCCAGCTGAAAGATACAATTGCCGGGGCTACCAGAGTTCGGCGCACCCAGAAACCAGCAGTTCTTATGGAGATCAATTTCGGAAGATAAGATTAGAGGGCGGCCAACGGAACAACAAAGCTGAGCTGAGCAACACCGCCCACGCCAAAAAGGCCAGACACAGTCTCAGTTTCAGACTCAGTCTCACAGAATGAAACCCGATTTTTGGAGCAGAAGTTAGTTGGCAAAAAACGAAGCCAAAAGTGCCGAGAGGCACAGTGGTCGAAAAGACAATTATTAAGCTTAAACAAAGGTTCTTGTTCAACGAATTAGTTCCGTGTATCGTTCATTGTTAATTGTTGTTAATTTGAGAAACGTTTTTGACAGCCAATAAATATGGATTGGGTCTGGACCGGATTGGCTCCTTTCTTCCATGGTTTCCCATGACTCGGTTGGGCCATCGATCTGCCGCCGACAGTTTCCTTCCTGCGTAGACTGCGAGCTGTCCGCACACTTCCCGGAGCAGTGGAGCAGCCACTGTCTCGCTGGGAATATGTGTTGGCGTCGCCGGCCGATTGGTTTCAATTTGTTTCCCATTCAAACACACTCATGTGTGGTGGCATGTGGCATGCGGCTATGCTCCGATCGTATGCTACACGCAAATAAGGAAGCAATTTGCTTCTCTTTTTTCCAGCCACAGAGACCTGAACTGAAGTGAGGAAACGAAGTGAGCTGGCTGGCCGAAAATCTGAGTTCGCAAATTCGCAGACAAATTATTCGCAACGCCAACGCAGCGCCAGAGGAATAATCAAAGAGCTTGAAAATGGGAAAACACAGCAGGGAAAAAGGGTGGAAAACCTCCTGAGCCGTTTTGGGCATTCGAGCCAAGAATTTCAGTGGGGCTGGCGCAATCGTTTATTATTTGGTATTATGCATGCCAAGCGACACCTTTGGCGCTGATTGATTGACTGACGGATTGATTGACCGAACCAACAATCTTCCTATACTATATATATAGTTTGGATCTATCCAGAGGATATATCTGTGGCTGTCACACACGTCAAGGACGAGAATGATGATGACAATGGCAGCCGCGGAATGGCTGCATAAATTTGCATAACGAGAAATGCGAGCAATCGCAAATCATTGCAGCCAAATCATCGAAAAGCACTGGGAAAAACAGTAGAGTAGCTACTTTATGGCCATCTTTGGTTTAATATGAAGGAAAATCTGTGAAAATGCAATCAGAAAATCAAGTTTATAGAAGGTTTTCCTATCAGTTTTATCATAACTTTGAGTTATGTGAAAGAAACAACAATTTATTCGAGTGCATTGCCAAGCTAGTCCCGTGACTCATGTTCCTGCCCAGAGGAGCACTCGAAGACAAGTATTTTCTTGGAGTGCAACTGCAACTGCAACAGCTGCCTGCTGCTGCTTTGTTGCTCTTCATATTTCTGCGGCGCAGCTCTGTCGCCATCCATTCGTCGTGCTGTTCGCTTTTCGTTTGGGACCACCGCTTATCGCGATTTGTAACAATAAGCCGCTGAATAATTTTCGCATTTTTCTTGTTTGATTTCATTTGGCTTGTTGCAAGAGCAGTCGGCCGCAGTGTGCCGCTCGCTGCTAGCTGATCGCTGCCAGCCTTGTTTGCATTTCAATGTCTCTCGCTGGGGCTTTGCGTAAATATCTGCCATTTTATTACAGTATCTTTATCGACCTGGGAGCCAGCCACAAAATTTTAATGTTTAATTGGCCCATTACGGCGGCGCTCATCTCGTCGTTTGGAGAAACAAAGCCTAATGAACTTCCGTTTTGCCTTGGCCAAGTCTTGCTTATGCTTGGGCTGGGAAAAAAGCCGAAGAGAAAGAAAGGTTGCTTGAGTCTTGACTTGAGATTCGAAATAAAGGTAGCCAATCCTTAGATCTCAGCCTAAAAACTCCCAGAACAGAACAAGTTGTTCATCTGCAGCTCTCTAGAATCAGACTGCCGCTGATTGGGGCCTTTCATGGGGCAAACGTAACCAAGTTATTCGTGCCCATGTCAGCCGTATCTCTCCATCTAAGTCAAGTGGCAAACATTCAGCATTCGGATTCCATTTGATTTCAGAATAGAACCAACGATTTGCATTTCCATTTGCATCTGATCGCGATCATAAAGGTTTTCGGTGGTGCGGTAAATGACTGCAATTAACAGGCATTCTTCAGCATTGCCCACGCATCATAGATGCCACGTCAAATCGTCGACTCTTCGAATATCACAATCAAGTTATCCACTTGTCCAAGAAGTAGCGCCTGTCTCGGCTCCTCTGTCCCCATCTTCTGGGCTCTTTGGCATTCGGTAGACGGTCTTCTGTCTACAGTCTTCTCTGTGTGTGCAGTGATTGTTGTTTTAATTAACGAGCTCAGCTCAGCTCGAAATCAATTGCCTGCCAAGCCAAGCAGCATTACACAGGCAAAAAAACTCGATCATTTTATTGTCGTTCTTTTTGGGAAGGGGGAAAAATATGAATAAATTATTTTCTGATTAATCTTAATCCCCTTTTTGATCCTTCAGTAAGGTGCTTTCTGTGGCCTTCGATCCTTCCCTTGGCCATATGAAAACCAGTAAAATGGCCACCAGAACTGCCACGATTACGGCTAGAATGAGCATCATCTTGGCATTGGCCAACCAGTGCTTGCGTTTCAAGCGCCCAGATTGACGGACAAACTGGGAGGCCCCCTGCTCCAGTTGGTCAGCCCGTTCCGTTAGCTCTGACAGAGCCTGATCGCGTTCGAGGACCTTCTCCACATTGACCCTCATAATCCCGACCACCTCATCCACCTGGCTCTGGGTATCCAGCAGCTTCTTCTGGACATCAGTTAGGGACTCTACCTCGCCTTGGGCCCTCAAGTCCTTCAATTCCATCTCGAACTCCGAATCCGAATCCATAATTTTAGTAATAAAGTTTCGTGTGGACAGCTCAGGCTCGAAGTTAGGCAACAGAATTTGAGAGGAAAGTCAGAGGAGGCTTAGTTGGGAGAAGAAGTGGGAGATCTGTACTATATAGATATCAATATATTTATTCACTAAAAACTACATTTATTAACAATCATCTTTCGTTAATCATTTTCTCCGAGTGGGGCTGCTGTTTTTCTGCACTTTGTTTCTGTTACTGATGGGGCTGCTCTACTTGAGCACTTCGGCTTGGATTTCGTCTGTCTAATCTGGGGTCTCTTGCCGATCTGCTAGAGACATTGAACACGGCTGCTCCAAATGCTCAATACGGTTGCCGGTTGCCGGTTGCTGGTTGCTGGTTGCTGGTTGCTGGTTGTTTGTTGCCAGTTGGTAGTTGCTGTAGTGCCAGCTTGTTTATTAGCCCAAATGCGAGTTCGCCTGCTCGCTCGACATTCGCTTTTGGATAATTATTTATTAAGGTTTTACATAACGCAGCCATCTGTCTGTCCCTGTCCCTGTCCCAGAAAAACTACACTGCATACAGCTACTAAACATTAACCGATTCAAGGTTGTTCTTACATCGACGCTACTAGATACAGATTCAGCTACAGATAGAGCTGCAGAAAAGATACAAAATGCAAATACAAAATATGAGAAATCCAACCAATTGCCTTTGACGGCATCCCATTTTCCTAACTTAACACTAAGTTTTTCCCAGTGACGGCTCATCTGCAGATGCAAATGCTGATACAGATGCTCGCAGAGATGAGCTGTCGCCGTTGCCGTTGTCTTGCCAGCTAATGGATAGAGATATTATTTCTGCGAATGTCGAACTCGTCCCTGAACTGTGAACTCGCCGTTTCAAATCGAGATCTCTCAGTGTGCGCGCGCTGTCAACTCATCCGGCTGAACATCTCAACTTTGTTATATTTTAGCCTTTAATGTTTCTGTAAACTTTAACTAGCATGTAGCGCAGCTTGTTGGCCTAAGTATTCGGACTAATCAAGGTGAAGCCATGTCCCTTTCCGCTGGCAAAGTTCCAGTCTCTTGTCTATCTTAGATTTTGTGGGGAGGGCAATCCGCACTGGCCTTTCCGCCTCCTGAATTCAGATCATAGAGTCTTTCTTTGGGGAATACATGATGCTGCCCCATATCGAAAGTGCAAGTTTCGGTTTCTCCCGTTTTCGCTCCCAAAAGATTAGTATTTTGCTCATAACTTGGCCAATAATGGTCGGAATATGGAAAGTAATACCTCATTGAGCTCGTAATTTGATTTCCAACAAAACTGTGTCCTCACCTTGAAAAGTACAAATTTAGCAATTTTTCGTAAATTTTGACGATGTTTACCCCTTATCGAAAATGCAAAATTTGGGCCAAAATTTATTTTCCCAAAATCGAAAAACGAGTGATAGGGGTGGTAAGTGAGGGTCGTTGGCAGCACAAAACGGTCGTTCTTTTGGCTGTGCGACTTGTTTTGACCGAGATAGAGCTAAAAACCGAAATGAATATTGCAAATTTCTGTGAAAAATCGGTTTCCTGATTTTTCAGCCTTTAAATCAGAGCTAGCACCAAAAGATCAGAACAACAATGATAAAAGCAAGTATGGGGGTGTTAAGTTTCGGTAGTTAACTGCATAAAACAGTCACTGTTTTAGCCATGCGACTTGTTTCGACAAAGTTAGAGCTAAGAAACGGCAATAAAACCTTCATATTTGCTGTCAAAAGACGTATACTTGATTTTTGACGCAAAAAATCAGTTTTTGAGCCATAGCTTAGCCAAAAATGCTCCAAATGAGGAATGTAATACCTCGTAGGGCTCGTAATTTGATTGCTTTGATTCCCAATTGATTTGCATTCAAATCTGGAAAACTTCATTTTTGGGCATTTTTTTAAGATTTTGATGATGGTACCCCTTATCAAAAATGCGAAAAATTGATAAAAATTCAACTTCATAAAATGGCCAAACCAATGATAGGGAAAGTTAGTTTTGGTCGAAAGCTGCTCAAAACTGTCTTTATTTTAGGTCTAAGCCTTCTTTTGACCAAGTTATAGCTGTAAATCCGACAAAAACGATGATAATTTTCTGTCGAAACGCAGAATCCTGATTTTGGTCTCAAACTAACAAGATTTCTTCCCATTACAAAGCCAATAATTCTCGGAATGTAGAATGTGATATAGCGTTGAACTCGTAATTAAAATTCCAATCGAACTGTATCCCCACCTCAAAATGTCAAATTTTTGTTGATTTTCTCAAATTTTGATGATGTTACCCCTTATCGATGTTGCGAGTCTTGGTTTCTCCCCATTTCTCTCCCAAAAGGACAGAATTCTCCTCATTACTAAGCCAATAATGGTCCAAACTTGGAATGTAATACCTCGTTGAGCTCCTAATTTGATTTCCAACAAAACTGTGTCCCCACCTTGAAACGTAAATTTTTTGCAAATTTTGATGGTGTTACCCCTTACAGAAAATCCAAAAATTTGTTAAAAATTCAAATCCTCAAACCAATGATGAGGAAACTTTATTTAGGTCGAAAGCTGCTCAAAATAGTCTTTACTTTAGCTCTGAGCCTTGTTTTGGCTAAGTTATAGGAATAAATCCGATGAAAATAGTCCCATTTTCTGTCGAAACTCAAAATCCTGATTGCTGCCTAAAAGTAATCAGAATTCTTCTCGTAACAATGCCAATAATTGTCGGAATATGGAATGTCATACATCGTTGAATTCGTTATTAAAAATCCAATCGAACTGTGTTCACCGTTTAAAATGTCAAATTTTTGTCATTTTTCGAAAAAAATAACGATGTTACCCCTTATCGCAAATGCGAGATCTGGTTATCCTCGATTTTCTCCTCAAAATGACAGGATTTTCTCCAATACTAATATGGAATCCAATACCTCGCAATGTTTGTTTTTTAAATCCTAGTTGATCTGCATTCAAACTTCTAAAAGTGAAATTTTTGACTTTCTTCGGAAAAAAGATGTTACTCCTTGTGGCGAAAGGGAGAATTGGTTACTCACAAGTTTCGCAAGTTTCAACTATGCAAACTTCGGTTAGTTCCGATTCTCATTCGCCTTGCAAAAATAACAAATGAAAAGCTTATTTGATTTATTTTATACTGAAAAGATCTGATGTGGCACGTTTCTGCAAGAACAAAGTGGGGTGTCCAGTATCGATTTGTCGTCCGGTTGGGATTTCTGCATCAGCCAGGCGGGGTGGGAGGACGGGGCTTAGGCAAACCGCATGCACTTGGCCTTCTGGGTGTAGGTGACGGCGCCGTACTCCTCCACTATCTGGTCGATGGCGATCTTGTTCAGATTCTCGAGATAAAGCCGCGTCTTGCGGGACTGGATGATGTAGCTGATGACGTCGTGCATGTTGTCAAAGAAGAGGAAGCCAGCGGTGCCGCAGCTGAGGTCCAAGTAGCGGAATCTGTTGACGTCGCAGGTGCATCCATCGAACAGGAAGTATATGAAGTCGTTGTTGTTGTGGTATCGGAAGACAACGTAGTTGCCCCACGGGGCCATCACGAAGACCCGCTCGGCACACCGGAAGCCGGCCCTCAGGAGCTTGCAGATGCTGTCGTAGCAGCCATTCTCCGATCCCACCACCGCCATCGTTTCCGGGATGCGAAGTAGCGCCGGATAATGATTCGGCTGGGCCCGGAGGACATCGTGGGGGCCACTGGACTCTGGACAGGTATCAAGCGGTTGCATCTGCTTCGGCAGTTCCGGGCATGGCGGGCATGGTGGCGCTTCGACGGGCGCCACAGCAATAGTAGACTTCTTTCCCTTGCCTTTCTTTCCCTTTCCCTTTCCCTTCTTGCCCATGGTTACGGGGGTTCTGCGAGTCTCTCTACGATCTCCCGACTAAACGGACTGTCTTCCAAGTCTCTGAACTTTCAACTCGGACACGGCTCTGCCTGCAATCGCCTTCAATCACCACCAGCGACTAACCAGAAGGGCTCATGTTATTCCCAGAAACCTGAGGAGGAACACGAGAGATGGCTTAGTGACGTTAACTGGAGGGATTGATGAATGGATCAAAAGCTTAACGAAGGAAGGGAGTTCCTCCCTTGCCACGAAGAAGGCATACCGCGTGATACCTCGCACTCACAAGATAGGTTAGACGCTATTCGACACACCGTCCCTTTTGTCTCACAATCTTTCAGTTTGGCCGAAAGGGGAATTTTGGATTTGGTCGAAAGCGAATCGGAAAATTTAGTAAAGATTTCCGGTGGAATACTTTTTCCGAGATCCCGTTGTGTGTTTTGTGTGTTCACAGTCGGATTACTTCTGACCGAAAGCCATCTGGCTGGTGGCAAGTAAGTTTACAGACTGACAGTTCGGGCAAGGCAAGTTGATCGGAAAAACTCGGAAAAACCTTGGGCCTTATGGTTTCAAATCGTAGCAGGCCTTAAGGAAAGGATTACTTGGATGTGTTCTTAGGCAGAGGAATCTTTCGAAATGTGATTGGAATTCAGAAAATCATCGGAACATGCAAATTAGATGCTTATGTGAGTTATTTTGCTGGTCATCCATCTCCCTGTCGGCATATCTATCCATCTTGGTGCCTGGGCATCCGAAACTGGCTGCTGAAGCGCCGTTCTCCGAGAGACAAATGCAAATTAAGCAATGGCCCGCGGCCACAGCAAGGCAGTTTAATTAAGTTGTGTTTGCCAAGGAGGCACAGCCGTGGCCAGATTCGAGATATAGTGATGCCAAACTATATAGCCAGCCGTGCAGGGGCACATGTTCTTGGGCAATCAGGTGGGAAGTGCGATTGCAAAAGGATCCTCGGCCGGCGGCAAAAAGTGAACGGCTGTCAAGGCAATTAAAAGAGGTGCCCACTGTGTGCACTCGGCGAGACCCTTGACGAGCTGGGGGAAGCCAGGTGAACGTGGGATCTGCGGGAGAACTCGAATGGTAATTGTGGAAATATGGAAATATGGCTAAAAAGTTAGAGAGCGAGGCAGCCAAAGCAGCCAAAGCAGCCAAGAACCTGTTGCAGAGTGTTACTGCATTTTCCGAGTGGACAATGGACGAGTGGATGAAGTGCAATTACCCAGAGCCTCGGGTTCTGCACAGTGGAAACTTAACTTAGAAAAAGGTAACAAATACTAGACTACTCCCTCTTGAAAAGTGAAAGTCCTTTCCAAGCTGATTTAAGAATGGGTTAAGGCCCCATCGCCTGACTGCCATAGATATTTCTTGGTAGTTTCGGTTGAGATTCGGGCCAAGATTTTCCGACCACAGTGCATGATTTCAGACGATTGGCCTGATCGCATGCAAATCTATTAGGCACCCAACTCCCCCGGAGATCGCCGACTGAGCCATCGACAGTCTGATATTCGGCCTAGCAAAGTGGTTATGGCTTTGGGTCTCGTGTTCCTTGGCCGGTTCATGTCTTGAGCCGACTACTTTTCCACCTTTTTGTTTGCCCAATTTGCGGCATTAATTTGTTCGGCGCTTTAATCAAACGAAGCCGGCCAATGGTGTTGTATGAACGTGGAAAAGTGCTTGGGACAAAGCAAACTTGGGAATTGCTTATGGAAAATGCAGAAATTATTAAGTAGGTGGAGGTGTATTTTGTCTATTAACTAGAAAAATGATCATTGCAAGATCTATTCTTGTTGAAATTCATTAAACTAATTCCGAACTAAGAAATAATCAATATAAGAAGAAATATAATTGGTTAAGCTACCCGAGACAGTCGCATGCTTTGCATAATTCCGCGAAATTTATGCCTTAAATGATGCCCAAATGCAGATAAGCACGTGGGATCAAGCTCTCACAATTATGTTTGGTATGTTGCCAAGTATTTTCTGCCAAGTTACCGCGATGATGACACCGGCGCTGCATTGCAATCGCAACTACACACAGATCCAGTGGGTTCAGTGGGTTCAGTCGGTTCAGGTGCCTTCGGTGGTTAGAGATTCGAATCCGAATCCAAGTCCGCATCCAGCGGGGCACACTTCTTCTACGAGTATTGCTTCATCCCAGTGAGACTCTCGGCTAATGGGGCAACTCAACCTGTCTCGCCGACAACGTGAGTCGGCAGGTTTAGGACACCCATATGAAGGAATATAAATATATATATATATATATGCGGGTGCTCATCTGTGGTTATATAACCAGCCGCCACAATGTGCAACTTAAACCAGCAATTTGTTGTTTTATTTGTTTTGTGTTTTGGGTTACTCTTTGCTGATATGTTTCCATGAAGAAGGGCTAACATTATTTTTATAATTATTTCATTATTAGAATCTAGTTAGGCAGATCAAGGGGTGTAAATTTGTGATTGTGCTTGGAAAGAAAGTGGATCTTAAAGCTCTAAACTTTGTTATTTTAACTTATTTTATTAGATATTTAAGTTCGATGTTAAGGAAGGCAACCTACTTTATAAGACTATGAAAGATCAGCCAAGGCTTTAGCTAAAGGCCAAAATAATCAGGCGAAAGGGGCTTTTATATTCCGCAGAACTAACAATTTCTTAGATTTTCGTATATAAAAATATAGAAATTATTATAATTTTAAGGATTTATTTTAAGATTTTAAGTCAAATTCAGTAAAGTCAGCGAATTCGAAAGTTAACAGCGAATGTGAATGCTAACAGCCATGCCAGTCAATTTGAATGTTAACTGCCATGTTAATACGATTTTATGCTATGTTATGTTAACTTAATGTTAATTGAAATTCTTCTCATTCCAGGCTACCAATAATTCCCAACTGCTTCTAGTCCAGAAGTCGTGACTTGGGAGCTGCCGGCACATCATAAATCTGTCACGTCATCCTGAAGTTTGTGTGTGTCTGTGCTGGTACAGTGCTTGGAAGTGGTCTATAGGGGTGGCCCAGCATATTGGGTCTGCCGCGACTCTAGGAAGATGCAGTGCGTCATGGATTCTTTTGGACTTGGATGATGTTTCTTCAGCTGGTTGTAGATGTGATATAGCTAATAGCTATCGTGACAAAGGCGGACTGCGGCATGAGGAAATCTGAGTAAGCGGCCATCTTACAAAGTCGATGTTGGTATATTTATGTTTGTTAATGGGTCTTGGAGCTACTTCGAGGTACTTCTTTGGGGTTTAGCTGTATGAAATGCAGAAGTCCAGGGGAAGATTAAGTCTCTGGAGAATGTAATAAGTAAATGTCTTGTCTTGTTTTAAAGAACTACTTGGATCATCTTGACGTAGCTTAAATATTTAAGCATTATTCTCCGATAGGGCTGTCCTAGCTAAACTTACCACCGATTGTTTGTCAAGAGTTAGAAATGGCGATTCATTCATTGATTTGTTCCTTCATCTATGACCTCAGTCACCAAAGTTAAGGTTGTGGCTGAAAAGGTCTGCTCAAAGCCAGTGAAATCCAGTAACCTTCCCAGTCCAAAGTCTTTTCCTGCATAAACTTAACAAGAAGTTCCGTTGACAGCTCTTTCAAACTCAACAGAAACGAAAGTTTCTCTGAAAGATATTCGGCCGTTACTCTTGGCCAACTTCTTCGCTTTAAGTTTTTCAAAAGCTGTAAAGCTAAGAAAGCTAGCCGAGCTAGCAAAGCTCGCTTCCCACCAAGCAGCGACAACTACCAAAGCCACAAAGTTCGAAGTTCGAATAAGCAAGCTTTCGAGACTTGGCCTGAGCTTGTGCTGAATAAGTTTATGCTGACTGTACTTGCAGAGGGGAAATGGCGCATAATTCACGTGGGAATATGTCGCTATTTGGACCGAAAACCCCCTCTTTGGCTTGCCCCCACTTGCCATACTCCTCCTCCTCCTCCCCTTACGCTTTTCCTTTTGGCTCGACTGCATCTCGATTCGCAGCTGGAAAATAGAAAACGGTTTCTTTGACTGGCGACAGACTTCTATCCTGCAGCCTGTTGTGGAGTGCACAGAGAGGAGAAAGCAATCGAACCGCCGATTACTGGGCCACGAAAGTGCAACGAACTGAAAGGCGGCGCCAGCGAGTCTGGGCCAAGCCAAAAATAAGGACGAGGACCAAGTCATTGGGTCGCAAGCCAAATAAAAAATTAATGGCCAGCGAAGGGTGGCCAGCGGGGGAGCATAACTCCCTGGCGCCAACAAAATTTTTATTGCAGCTCTCGAATGGTTTGTTTCTGGGTGCAGGTGCAGGTGTAGCCACTGCCAGGGTAAACAGAATGCCAAAAGGACGAAAGAGTTGCCCAGGCAGCCAAAGGGCAGCTGTAGTTTCCCATTTAAGTACCCTTAAAAAGGGAAACCTTCCAGCGCCCAATGCCTGTTTAAGTTGACCTTTTTCCGTGCTCCCTCCCTTCCTGGCGGATGACCTCTCGAGCTAAACTAAACAGGTGTGATTATCCTTACATCGATTTGGCAACTTCCTTGTCGGGGTCACCAAATCACTTTCAAATACAATTACTCCCCGATTAAGAATGTAATGAGGCGGGAAGTCGGGAAACGTCCTGGGACTCTCCTGGCCTTAAATCCTCCCACGGGCATATACAAACTTTGACAACAAAGAGCCTTCGAGGTGAACTTTCTTTGGGCCTCCTTTCTCTTTAAGCATGCTGGCCATTAAGTTGCTTGTTTGATCTTCTGAAAGTTCTCTAAGAACAGATTTGATATGATATAAAAGTGAGGTGGAGTACTCTTTCTAGGGAAGGACTATCCTGGCTTTCAAGCCCCAACCAATTTCAATTATGGCCAATTGATTCGATTGTCTTTCAGTTAATTTCTGCCAGTTGAGCCAAATTGCCCATGCCAATCGCCATTTTACATTCCAAAGTCGTTTGTGGCTGCGGCATCAGCTTGGATTTGTTTTTCCCGTCTTTGGGGGATTAGCAAAGGGAGCTTTGCCAGCAGTGAGGCGAGACGAGACCACGCGACGCTAAATAAAGATGACACTCGAAAATTGAAGTCCCCTTTCCCCTGCTCTTCCCTCCCCAAAATGTAAATGATAGAAGATGGCAAATTTATGTAGAGACCAAAAACCGAAGACTGATGATTGAAAATTCCATTCGACTTTTTTGTTTGTTTGCCTGCCTGCAATTTGCGTTCCGTTTTCCGACGCTTACGCTTTCGCTTTCGCTTTCGCTTACGGTTTTTTAGGCGCGTGGAAATGCGCATAAGGAATATGCAAACAAGCGGCCTCCGGGCGTACACTCGAAGGAGAACCGCATGGAGCCAGCCCTGTGCAAACATATCAATGCCAAGCGTCGAGGGAGCGCTTTTCCACATACTGAACGAATCCCATATCTCGGGCCTCCCCTACTCTGTCGCTGGCTATCTCTTACGGGTTGGTTGGTGATAAAGCGATTTGGCCAAAGTTGGGCCGCTAAACTGCGGAGCTCAGCGAAAGGAGAGAACACGGCTAAACTGGACACGTGCCTCTAGTTAGGGCGAAAGGCCATGTCCGAGTCGGTTTCGGTGGGATTGAAATCAAGGGAAAATCAAAAGGAAATTACGGGAAATTCGGGGAGGTATTTCAAATGATTTTCAGAACCATTTCAATAGACATCTCAGGCAAGTTAAAGCTTGGTCCTAGCAGGGCATCAAAAGGCGCATCAGTCAGACAAAAGGCAACCGAAAATGTACGACTATTTTGTGGGGGGAAGCCGAGAAAAGGCGTCGGCCACGCCCCGCGTCAAGTGAGCCATGTGTGCGTAAGTGTTAGTGTTTCCTCCCAGGTGCGTCTGTAGGTGTGCGTGTGGATGTGCGTGTGCGTGTGTGTTGGTGTTGGTGTACAAACAAGCCATTTCCGGCAGTTACGCAGGGCGGGTGGTTGCTGGGTGGTTTTGAGTAGCAGTTTGAGGCTTTTATTTTGGCCATGCTGCAAGCCATGTAGCAGAATGCCAGGACAAGATACGAACGATGAAACGGAGAGGAGAGAGAGGGCAGAGAGGACAGAGAGGACGAAGGACGTTAAGCACCGCCGTGAGCTTCAGCTTGAAGGCCCATAAGTGTCCCGTCTGGGTCCCATTGTGCACAGTGGACCAAAAAGCACTATTTTACGGCACTCGAGGTGAACGAAGAGCGCAAAGAGGCAGCCCATTGAGCGAGCAATCCACATGCTCGACGCCAGTTGAGATAATAGCCCTAAAGCCGCTGTCCATAAACTGCCGAAAAGTGCAATTCCCCGGACTTTGCAGTGGCCAATTAATATTGAAAGTTAGTATTTATGAAGCCACAGAGACCACGATTAAGTTACTAACTTAGTTCAAATTTAATTCCAGGTTCAGTACTCAAATATTATCACTGCTTTAGGAGAGTTACCTTCGCTTTCGAGGCCCCTCTCTGGGAGCCACACTGTAACCAGTGTGGGCTCGAGCTGCAGGGGACCCACCGCTTCAGATGGCATAAGTACGCCCTAAAGGCCAAATTGTTTCCCATTTGTAGACTTAACGTTCTTGGGGGCCATCGAGGAGCATCGAACATCGAATGCCGAGCATTGAGCAGGAAACATGGGGGCATTCTGTATTGGGGAAAGTGTTTTGCTTACACAAGACGAAAAAAGTGGACAAACTTTGGGGAAAGTGGAAGAGATATACCTTATATGGTAGGAAATCAAACCCAAAGATAATTATTCTCAGTGTTTTAGGGCCATCAATTGCCCGGGAATGACATTGACGACAGAGAGCCAATGTCGTCGAAGCAATCGGCAAGTACTAAAGTACCGAGAACTAAATGCTAATGTGTAATTAGGCACACCCAGCCAGCCACTCGTGCCGTCTTTAATGATATCCTGCAGGAGCATATCCTGTATCCCACGCTCGTGTCCCCCATATCCTGCGCTTGCTCCTGTGCTACTCCTGTTACTGCTGTTACTGCTGTTACTCCACAATGTTCCCTGTCTGCTGGCCAGGTGACTAATGACGAATCAATGGGGTCAGACGTGGCGTAGCGGGTGAGGCAGGTGACGCTCCCTTTAATCCCCTGAGGGATCTCAATGGCTGTGCATACAAATCGCTGTCGCCAGCATAGCACGCCCTGGAATAATTTATTGCATGTTATTAGCATCACGCATACGCCGCGTTGGCCGTGATTGATGCCACCACATCCCTGCCACCCGCGGCACGCAATGCAATCTAATTGCCAAAACGAGTCGGAACCCCTCCCTTCTCCTGCACAAGAACAAAAAGTGCAAACTTGCGCTTTGTTTTATTTTCTCTTTCAATCAAATCTTTTTGATTTCCCATTCTTAGATTGATTTTCTGTATAATAACAATATTTAAGACCAGAAACTGCAGTAATTTCTTGCTGTGTGACATCTCGCATTAATCATACGCCGCGTGTGCTGATAAATGGCGAGCAGTAAGCGGAGAGCAGTAAGCGCAGAGCCAGTAGACAGTTTCAAATGCAGCTCAAGAAGTAGTTGCAGCTCAGATAAGAACCATGGCAGAAAGACGAGTGCAGGAGAAGCGAAGGCTGGCGGGGGAAAGCAAACATTCTTGGTCCAAAACAATTTGGCGAAGTATGCCCCAGGCAACACGCTGCCACAAAACTTTTTGCGAGGGCTAACAAATGGCTGGCTGGCTGCAGGATGTTTGAAGTCCCTCACTGTACCATACCTTTCACCACTTCTCCCCGGCAGAAAACGGAAAACAGAAAGGAACACCACCCTTTGCATAAACTTCAAAGTCCAGCGGGGAACACAGGCAATGTTGTAAGTGGCCCAATCAATTCGGGGCAAGCAAAAAGGAAAGCCGGTTGTCTGTCGGGGAATATCTTAATGAAACATTAAAGATACATTCTGGCTGAATCAGTTTTGGTTAAGATTTGAGACTGAACTAACTTACAAGTTGAATTTGAAGCCGTGAAAGGCTAGCCTTCCATTCATAAAGGCCTCTGAATTGAAGCCACATCCACATCCGGTGAAGTCTCAGGGCTGCCCATCTCACCAGCCAACGCATTCACTCACTCGAATCGCAGAGGAGAATGGCCACGAGGCAGAGCCCCCGACACGCGTGTATGGCTTTCGAACTTTCACCTATCCCCGCCCCGCCCTCTGCTGCGCATGCAGGCATGCAAA